AGAAAATTAAATACGAAAGAATGGAGCTTTTTGAATAGAGGCAATGAATGCTGCTGAACGGATGAAAAGGAAAACAAAACAGCTGAAATTATTTTTAAATTGCACAGGCATTTTCAACTTGAATGCAAATTTTAAAAAGCGCACACATGGACGGATGGACATTGTGTGCAAAAATAAAACAAAATAAATAAAATGAAACAAAGTAAAATATAAAATAAAATAGAATAAGTAGAAAACAAATCACACAAAACTACATTAAAATAAAAATTAAGTGAACTTAGATAAAATAAAAGGAAGTCGGATATGCCGAGGATTATGTAATACTTGCGTATATCAGGCAAATTCCTGCCAACGCGAAGCACCGCTTGGGGTTAACTCTTCTCAAACGGAACTGGGCTTATTTACTCGCAAGAAAAACCAAAGCTTAGTGCTTCGCTGCTAATATCGTTGATGGTTTGTTCTCGGTTCATCGTTTTAACATGGAGAAGTATCGTTTCGTATCGAAGTATCGGAAAAATTATCTAAATAATTGCAAAGGGAAATTCTATGCTACTTTCGCGTTAAAGACAGCAGTTGATTGAAACTGGAAAAAACTTAAAAACTCAAACTTTAAGCATTTAAAGTCGAAAATTATAATAAACATTGTGTTTTGAGTGCAAAATTCCTGCAAAAATTGGCTTGAAACCAAAAAACCCTGAAAATGTGCCAAGCGCCAAAGCGTTTTGGACGTCATAGAGCTAGAAATTAGCTGACTAATATATGTACATACATACATACATATGTGCTTATAAATACATATATACGTTTTTTAGTATAATAAAACATTTCATGAATTGTCGACGTCAAAAGGCGCACCCTAATGTATTTATATATGTACTTGTGTATCCCTGCAAAAAGAAATTATCAATTGATAAAAAATAACCTATTTTTAGTTAGCTTTTTTTCTATAAAGTATATAGTTTGTAGTTAGCTACAAAAAGCTAACTTGAAACAAGTGGACAAGTAATGCAGGAATAAAGCTCGAGATTGTTTTCTTTAAAAACGTTTCTTTTAGATATCCTGCACTTCGCAAATACTTTTTCGAATTGAGGACAAATAAAAGGGAGATCGAAATTTCATATTATCATTTTAAAGTTATGTCTGACGGAGTTCGAATATGGGACCACCTACAGCAGAATATGTAAACAAATATGAAATCTGATAAAATGAATGAAGTAAATAAAAAAAAAAAAAAAAATTTAAATTATTCTGTTTTTTTCTATTAATATTTTATGCCCAAAATTAATTAGTTACAAGTTAGTTTCATGAAACGCAGAGGTAACCATCTTTGACTATTTCGCGGCCATCGCCATAGAAATATAGTTAGCTTTCGTCAAAGAAAATATTCAGATAATAAGTGACTTATAGCTCCTTCATAATCAACTTAAAGTTAGCTTATAGTTAGATACATTTCCTGCAGGGATGTTCATACGTATATACATACCTGTGACTGCAAGCTGATTGTATAATCTTTATAAACGCAAACATTTGGTAATGGAAAGCGTCAAATGATTTTCGCATTTATTGACAGAATATTTGCGTTCAATATTCTTGCGTGCAATATATTTGTACAGACATACATAGGTATGGATATGTCTCATTACAAAATAAATAAAAATGCTTAAAATTGTATACAGTATTTACATATACATATGTTCATATCGATATAACAGTATGGATTTGTACACCCAGCAACTCGGCTGACTATTGAATATTTAAGGAAATTCACTTTGCATGGCCTGCGTTCGGTCGCGTGCGCTCTATGCTATGCGTTGCATTGCGGCGTCAATTATGATTCATGTGAATTCGTTTAGACGCCACATGGGCATAATGACGATATCAAATTGAATATTATGCATACAACACATATGCATACATAATTATTTATTTCACATAGTATACCCAGTAGAAAAATGCATTCACCGTAACAGTGAAAACTTTTGATTTGATTTGATGAAACAGCAGTTTATGGTTTTCTATAACATATGTCACTTGTAACAAAACGTGTGGTTTGATTTATTTGGGATGTGCTGCTACCTTCCCTTAAGAAGAAATGGAGTGTTCTGGCTTAGTATTTGATGTGTTTTCAAACTTACTGACTTTTATTTTTTTCTTGGCACAATTTCAAAAGCTCTGAACTCTTTTCCATAAGGTGATTTCAACGCTTGAACATTGATTATTTCATCTCGTAGTATAGGAGTGTTATTAGCTTTTTAAAATAAAATAAAAAAATAAAAAATAAATAATAATAGTATTTTTCTTAATTTTTTAATATTCATGTCTTTATATTTTATTACCTTTTAAGAATTGGCCTACCTTTTAATTTTTGTTGTTTTTTTATTTTTGCATTTTTTCTTGTTATCTGCTTTTTATATTTCTTTAATTAATTTTTTTTTTTTTTTATGTTACATACTTCTTGTTCTTCATATTTTTTATTTTGCATACTTTTTTTTCATTTTTTAATTTTTCCTACATTTTATTTCATTTTGAAAATTTGTTTAATTTTTCATTTTTGTTTATATTTTGTTGTTTTTGGCTTTTTATGATTTTTGGGTTTTAATTTTTTTACGATATTTTTATTCTATACATGTTTACCTTTTTTGCATTTTACATAAATTTTGTTGTTGTTTTTTGTGCTTTTTAATGTTTTATATATAAAATTTTTATATTTTATTGTTTTTAAATTTTTTTAACTTTTACCTTTTCTATATTTTATTTCCTTTTAAAAATTGGTTTGTTTATTTTTTGTTTTTCCGTTTTTTTACGATTTTTGGCTTTTAACTTTTTCTTGCGATATTTCAACAATCTTTTCATTATATATATATATATTTGGTTTTTTCTTAATTTTTTGTTTTATTTTTTGTAGTTATATATATATATATTTTTTTGTTTATTTTGCTTTGTTTCTCTTATCAAGTGCTACCAGAAGTCACCATTACCTTAAATCTTTCCTACAGGCTATCGTCATCTATGCGTCAATACTCATGCCATATTATTTGAGGTCATTTGGAATTTCACTCTAAATTCTCAGTTTATTGATTTTTTTTGTAATTTCATTACAAATGTGCGGAAAATGCGAAAATTTCGGTAAAAATTAATATTTACACTACACATACATATACAGAGATATTACGTCGCCAATCGCGGCAAAATTGTCATAGACGCCGAGGTAGAAAATTGATTTTCAAATATATTGGTTACATCTGCATTAGCAATCAACAGCACTTCCATGCCGTCAAATGACGTATGAGCAGGCCTGTCCTCTACTTCAGCGAAAAAAAAAATGTTTATATAAATATTTACGTAATGCTCCCATTACAATCGAGTAAATGCACAATTGAAGTGGAATATTTAAAAGCGATTTTCTAGATTTCTGCGTTGGCGCTGTAGTTAACACTTAAGTGTCTTGCTTATAAGTTTGCTGACATCGTCGTAAAACTCGTGCGTAGATAAAGTAAAATAAAAATTAAAATTAAATAAATTAACTAAACGACGCTTCCTTATCTTATCTACAGGCACTGAACTAATCTTTTCAATGATAATGTGATTTTATGTGAATTTGCGTTGATTCTGAAATTCGGAGCTTAACAAAGAAAATAAGATTTAGCAAGCACTGCACTCTTAAATTATATTATTTCTAAAGACTAACTGCTATTTTACTAAGCTACATAAAGCCGTATTTAATTGTCGCATCAACGATATTTTAGAATATAGGTACAAAGAACTCGAAAAATACTGCTGTAGCAGAATTCAGTTAATTTAAAATGCAAATCATTAAAATGGGATAAGTACTTTGGAAGTTTACAGCGAACAAAGATTTTTTCCGTTTCAATTTCATATTCCTCACTTACACTAGGCGACAAATGAAAGTGTACACCATGTTCTAATATGTATATCTAATATTCACAATTATTTTGATGAAAACTTTTTTGCATTAAATATTTATGAAAATATAGTTCATCATCAAAAATGTTTAACTTTTTATTCATAATTTCAGTTTTGTAGCCCATTTAGTTTCAAACGGCTAAAAATCTCGTTGATTTTTGAAAATTTGTGTTTGGTGACAGATCTTTGCACTTTTTTTCATATAAGCATAAACTTTTTATGAAATAAAATGCGGGAGACCGTTGGCAAACAAAATCTCAATAAATCAAAGCCAGTTTTTGTAAATTGCACTCGTAATGTATATAAAATAAAAACGTAAAAGCAGTATTAAAAAAAAATCTCAAAAATCAACGCGATTCTTTAGCCGGTGGAAATTTGCGCTTAATTAGACTAAAATGGAATGGGCTACAAAATGCATACTCGAAAATTTTCTAGAATTCTGAAAAGTTGAAACGTTTTTGAATTTTTGTAAGCTTTATATAAAGCGTAAAACTTTGATTTTTATGGTTTATATTAAAGAATGAACTATATTTTCGTAAATAATGAATGCAAACAATTTTTCATGAAAATAATTGTGAGTATTATATTAGAACAAGGTGTACACTTTCATTGGTCGCCTAGTGTATGTGCTTGAAGTTTTTGTTTCATTCTGATGGAGCTAACCATACTTTCCCAGATACTTCTAAGCAGTTTTAGGTATGTTGCGTACACAGCGCTGGCTTGTGTTTCAGATCAGCAAATTCACAACCACTGAGTGTTGGGTTCGGGAGACAATTATCATTTTACTCAATAGTATTTTCATATGCCTGGCAACACGCAGCTGGATGTATTTAATACTAGTAAATCTAAAACTGATNCTAACCATACTTTCCCAGATACTTCTAAGCAGTTTTAGGTATGTTGCGTATACAGCGCTGGCTTGTTTTTAAGATCAGCAAATTCACCACCACTGAGTGTTGGGTTCGGGAGACAATTATTATTTTACTCAATCGTATTTTCATATGCCTGGCAACACGCAGCTGGATGTATTTAATAGATACTAGTAAATCTAAAACTGAATTTTTTTTCGCACTCACCTTTCACGCAATGGCATTAGCATGCCAGCCCCCATACTCGAAACTTTCACTGGTATTTTGACGCTATCCGAATCGCTGCCACTCTCAGCGCCCGAACCGCCGCTGCCGCCAGCCAACTGTTGCTTGCTAGCAATTGCCGCCATTGTGCCTTGTTTAGTAGAAGTTTGTTTGCAATTTTGATTGCCCTGTTGCCGACTACTCGATGTAGGTCGCTTAGCATTGCGCTTCTCTGACACAGATGCTCCTCCTCCACCAACGCCATCGTTGCCGCCGCCACCGTCGCCGCCGCCGCCATAGCCAGCCGCGGTTGCGGTTTTATCCATATACTTGACTGTCGACTTTGTAGCTGCGATAGTCGTTGTTGTTGCTGCTTTAATGCCTCCATCGCCCCTGTAAGTGGCGTTGCTTCGACGTGCATTTATCAAGTGTTGACCCATATTTTCAACTTCACTAAAATGCCCATCACCATCGGCGCTACCGGTACTATCGGCGCAGCCATCACTACCAGCGCCGCCATCACCATCGCCACTGATGAACTCCATGTGCCCATCATCGCATGTGGCGAGAAACAAAGCAGCCGATGGTGCGTACATGCCGCCATTGCCAGTGCCGGCATTACCGTTGCCAACATTGCAACCGCCATTGGTATGATGTTGCGTATAATAGTGTTGATGCGAATGATTTTGTTGCCTAGGCTGTCGATTATTGCGGTTGTAGTTGTTGAAATGTTGCTGCTGCTGCTGCTGCTGTTGTTGTTGTTGGTGCTTGTTGTATTGGCTACCGCCACCACCTCCTCCGATGCTGCCGCCACTTTGTAGTCCCGCTGCCGTTGCGTTATAGGTAGTAGGCCCAGTGCCGCAGATGCCAATTGTTGCTCCAAGTTTTGTATCTCGATGTGTGCCATCTAATGAAATGTTCGATAGAAACGAGATCGCAGTCAATCTGCGCCTGTGTCTCGTTTTATTAAGCGAACTTGCCATTAGGCAGTGAAGGCTATAGGTGTCTAACAACTTTAAGGCGTCGTCTACTATTGGGTGTGGAGGAACGCGTAGATTAGATTTGCACTTGCACTTGAATTGCTTCAGCTGCCGCTGCCTCGTATGCTGATTATTGCGACGCTGATTCTGCGACTTCTGCTGCTGTCGCACGTCGACTACGCTGTGCGATTTGCTTGGATGCACGAATTGCGTGGATAAAATCTTTTCTCTTAAACCCAGTGGAATGTATAGGGGGGCGATGGGGGCACAAGAAGACGGTTTTGGGGTGTAAATTTTCGAATTTTCACTCTAGCGCTGGGTTTTCAAAATAGTTAGATTTTTTAAATTGAAATTTAATTTTTTTTTCAACAAACTTTTTAAACTTTTCGTTGGAGCACACCGTGGACGCTTACTTTTCGCACGCGTTTGTTGCTGCTAAAGATTAAGACGCACTTTAAATTTTCGCACGAAGAATCTTTGCTTGCTTCCAAAAGCTTACGCAGTATCCTTAAGCTCAGTTCACGCAGGCTGTTTCTTTTTCGACAGAAATCGACTGCTTCTCAAGTCTTTTTGACTGAAATTTATTTCTAAATCGCGCTAAACTTTATCTCAAGCTTTACTTAGCTGCAAGCGTGTAATTTTTTTTTTTAAAGCGCCCAGTTCGTTTGTAAAAAATGCCACACAGCGATAGGGTCGACTTTAGCGTTTGGCTACAAATTTTTACCCAAACACGCAGTTTCACTACTGCACACCGTTTTTTCGCAATTTTTTATTGCGATGCTTGTAGTGGTTGTTGTTAATGCAAGACTCGCACCGATATACAAATATCACATAAACTTTTTAGTCTTTAAAAGTGACAGCTTTTGAGACGAATTAGATTTACTTAAACGCGACATCTTGTTGGTTATTTTGTGAAACTTTTGTTGTAATAAAAAGTCAAAATTAAACGCAATAACTATGAAAACCAATAATGTTTTTAAGAAATTTACAATTTTTTCACACAAAAAAATTTACTTTAATTTTTTACAAAACCGCACACAAGAAAAACATGAAATTTTTCCGCAATTGTTCGTTTAATTGCAATACTGCTAAGTTTCTTATGATTGCTGCTGGTGCTGTTGTTGCTGCAGTTAAAGTTGTTGGTTGCATTCGCTGGTCGTTGGCCGCTGCTGTTTCGCTTCACTTGTTTTTATAAATTTCCAATAAATATTTTCGTTGCGCCTATCCTCGCTGGTACGCTGTGTAGTGTACGCCTTCGAATTCGAACCCAGAGTGATTGTCGGAAAATTCTAGAATTAATATGAAGAAAAGTCTATATGTACAAGTTGGTTGCATTTATGTGCACATAAGTATGTATATATCTATTGACAACAACAAATAAATAGTGGATAGTGAACAGCGCAGACATAAAAATTGGTAGAGAAAATATGCCTGCATAAACCGACGTACTACTCGCATGTTCATATGGAAGTTACGGTGCAGAAAGCGCCAGAAAGTGAGAGAGCAATGCGAAAAAGCTGGCGCATGAGAGCAAAGCTGGCTAGCTGGCTGGCTGGCTGGCTGGCCGAATGGCATGAATGAGCCACCACGACGATGCAACAGCATATTTGGACATACGACATACATACATACTAGGAATGCCAGTATTGTAGAGGTCCCGAAAATCGCGGGATTTACTTGCACTAATCCCGGGATCCCGAAAAACTTGAAATATCGAACTGATAGTAAGAACTTGTTCATGAATTTTGAAGTATGATTTTTGTAAAACGTCGTTCTGACTGTAATTAACAAAAACTTGAAACTGTACTTTTAATTTGCAGTCTGAGCCTTTTTTGAATAATCGAAATGTATAATTTGTTCCACGTGCTGGTAAAATAAGTTCAAATATTTTGTAATGTAGGAGATAGGGATCATTATCTTCAATTGGCTTATGACAACCTTTTGACAGTTCAGCCTAAAAGTGCTGAGGTCGAAATATGTTTTTCGTCAGTAGGTTTTGTATGTAAAAACTACAGGTCAAGATTAACAGACTCCGCTTTGAATGCTTTACTGAACTTCCGATACGAAAACATTTTAAGTGCAATAATAACAATACCGGCACAAAAAAGGGGTGTTCGTTTTTAACCAGACTCACCTACCAACATACATATATTTCGGCCCGCTGAATCCGATTCTGAGATCCGTTTGACTCGTACACCCTCAAAACTTCGAGTAAATTACGAAAAAGAAATGGTAAAAAATTCGCCATTCGCCATTTCTTTATAGAGTAGAATAAACATGTTTAGGGAAATTGTTTTTGTATATTTTTATTTAATGTTTTTTTTATTAATCATCATTTTCTTTTCTTTGAATATAAACGAGAAAACACAAACCAAGGACCTTTACCCTTTTCGAAACGATGCATTTTTGATTTATATAGCCTCCTGTATTAAAATATAATTTTTCATAAAAAGTGAAGTTAGCAATTTTTCACTCTAAGCTATGTGAGTTTTACAATTAGTTTATCGTAAATTTTAAATAGTTTTATTTCATGCTATTTTTAAATGCTTTCAGATATTGAATTTTCACTCATATTTAAAAAAAAAAATCCCGATATCCCGGGATCACAATTTTCGTCATATTTTGGCATCCCTAATACATACATAAATACATTTACATATAAAAAGGTGTTTGTGGTGGCATCCACAAAAGCGTTGAAAATACTCGGAGCAGCGTCGGTATTGGTTAGCTAGGAAATATACATCATATGGTCATGCCAAACTAGATACAGGGGCTCAGCGGAAAATACAAATAGGTGGATGATGTATTTTGGAATGAGAAACCCCTTGTCAAGTTTGGATTGAGGATAAACTAGTTTTGGATTTCTATGCTGTCCTCTGACCCGTAAATATACTTAAACTCGAAAACTAAAAACTTTTCCATCCTTGAAAAACTACTGCCAAAATTGTATATAGGGCTTTTTGGGTGCCTCGAAAACTTTCGAAGCAAATTAGTAGCAAAAGCAAAAACAGCGACGAAAAGTCGTTCGCAAGTTTCAGTGCAGGGTTTTGGTCAATTAATTCGTATGATTTAAATTTTTTTCTTTTTCGTGACAGTTTGAATGTTGCTTTTATATTTACATACGTCAGCTGATGTGATAAATCAAACATAAAAATTCTGTCGAAGCTGTTAAGTCTTTGAATTTCACCATTGTTAAAGACGCTGGAAAAAAGTGCATTCCCAAAAACAGCGTTGAAAATTTTCGAGTTTTCCACTTTCCGAGGGAGTTCCTTAACTTGCATACAAATATTTAAAATATCAGTATTTTCATATGCATTTAGATCACGAATCTACGAGACCAATACACTGAGAGAGCACTACATGAAGTCGCTAAAACAGTCAAAAGATCACTCGAATTTCAGCAATTTACTTTGATGATCTTGGTTCACATAGAAGGAGCCTTCAACGATGTCTGTACAGGAGATATCTACAAAGCCTTAGAAGTGCTTGACCTTTTCAATTCCGCCTGGCTGTTCACGAATATATTGACGTTCCCTGACAGAGTACATCGACAGTAGACCGCCTTCCAAATCTTCTCTGGCCCATCGACTACTTGCAAAACCGCCTATCTTACAGCACTCAAATTTTACAGGAGAGCGAAAAAACGGGTTTTCTTTGAAGGAATTGCCTTGATATGCGGTATTTTCTTTAGCTATTATTTTACAAATCTGTTACGATTTTAAGATTTTTATGCATAAATCTCTCTGGAGTTGAAGGTTATCAAATCTAATTTTTGCCACAACGGCGATTTAGGTGGTTTTGCAACTGGTCGATGGGCGGATAACCTGAGGTAATCAAAGGATAACCTTAGGTAATTAGCTTCGACATCTAAGTCGGCATTGATTCCGTTACGCCGTCCACTATTAATTACCTTCAATACCGCTGTGTGCCCGCAATTGATCTACTTTCACAATTTTGATTGCCTTAGCTTTGCGGCTGCGCCTTTTTAAAGTTTTTTTTCCGAGTCTCTTGGAATCATTCTTCGGTTCTTCTGGAACCGATTTTCTGGTCGAGTTTCACTTCCCTTAGACCTGTTTTTCGGTTCTTGTTAGGCCCGGACCGATCAGCGCATTAAAGTACATGGTTTCCCGGATCCGACCCCTCGTTTCTATGCATCGCTAGTATTTAGTTGTTAATTAGTTACACTTTTCCCGATTTAGTTGCTTATTACGTGTAAAATTTACAAACCTAAGTCTTAACCTAGCAGACCACGATGATATAACTTCGATTCTCGATAAAGTCAAACAGAAGTCATTAGAGAATAGAACATACGGTATATTTTATTGCTAATTAGTTGCTGCATAATAGCATTGTTTATAATATTCCACTGTCAACGTTCGACCCCCGATCATAACTGCTCCCAGTGAGACGTTATCAGAACATGCTCCTGGGTGGGAAAAAATACGGGATATTTAGTTGCTAATTAGTTGCTCGCCGATAAAATAGCTAATAATATTCTACAAACATTCCGTAACTAGATCTGTAGAATATTTTGTTGCTAATTAGTTGCGTGCATACGTTCATAGTTGAAAATGTTCTATGAGTTTATTTTGTGAAAATAATGACATTTAAATATAATGTGGTCACACTCGCAAATAAGAGAACTTTGAGCAAAACTATCACTCAAAACTGCAAATCTGACCTTGGCTTAAGTAATTTACGATGTAATATAAACATAATTTTGATTATGTAATATACTGAGCCCCATCTGCCAAAAGTGCGTTACTGACAAAAAGTACATTTCTCTGTAGAAATTGGACTTTTTTGTGATACGGTCCAATGCCTATATTGCTCTTCTACGACGGGCAAAATAGATTTGGATCCAACTTTCCCTAAATCGGGCGTTCATCATTTTATCAACAAAGAGTAAACGACCCCGTATATATAAAGAAAAGCATGTCTAGACTATTTGGCTTTCAAGATGCTTAGCCATGGGCCATAGCCGTTGCAGTGCAAATTAAATCTCGTTTCATCGGACCATATTACCGGGTTCCACTGCCCTAAGGACCACTTTGGCGTTTTTTCCCATTCCAGCCGGGCAAGTCTGAATTGTTGTTAGTCAAAAGTGGATTTTGCACTCGTTTTCTTGCATTCAAACCATACTGCTGCAGCTTCCTGCGTACAGTTCCCGCACGTATTGCAGCATTGGGTTTTTGCTCCAGGTCCTTTCTTATTTCTATGTAGTTTTTTAAGCGATACTGTAAACAAACCCTATGAATAAGACCATCTGTTCGGGGTGTGGTCTTTCTCAAGTTTCAACTCTACATTGACGGTCCAAATTATCAAAATTTATTACTGTAGGATTACTAGATCCAACTTTTCTCTTGCTCCTTCTTGTTCCTAAAAAAAAAAATAATAATTTTTTGTTAAGAGTTAATTCCTTGTATTTAGCGCACAATTTTTTAGTCGTTCCATTTAATACACAATTTTTCACAAACTATTAGCGTATACTTATGTATTTTTAATTTTTTGCAATTTACCTGAAACAATTCACTGGTCTGGTAGTGCTTCTGCTTTTTAATTTTTCAAATATGATAGCAGAAGCAACTGACGATCTGCGAAAGCCGATCAATCGCTTTTGCTTCCGCTTTCGTACTTTTCAATTTGTTTGCTGGAAAGCTTTGAGGTTTCTTGCTGCTGCTGTGGCGGTTCGTTTTTTTCGAAGCCAAAGCAAAAGCACGAAGATTGCTTCTGAAGCAAGACAACTTCAGACGCCATCACTAATCCTACATACATACTTGGAGATAGTTTTTTGGACTAAAAATCATTGTAGCAATTGAAATGTTAAGATTGAACTTTTGTTTAAAAAATACAAGTTTTTCATCATGGTTCAATCAAGGTCAAGAAAATGTGACGAGTCAACATTAGTTCCAATTATCGTTTCCTGAGCAGATAAAGTGTATGAAAATAATAGGGCAATTCATCCAAACGCGTAAATGACTCGCAACCACGTAAACCTCATCAACTTAGTTAATTTTGTATGGAAAACCGGTTTGTTTATGAGCCTAAAGGCCGGTCCACATAGAACTTTCGCATTGGCTTTGGCGTTGGCGTTGGTTTGACAGAACGCACGTTAAAAGAATGCTTGCTACAATGAACGCTTGGCAGCGAATGCTTGGGCGACTAAATTAGCATACTAACGACAGATAAATTAATATTTAATATCAATAATTGCATTAAAAACGATATTTCTGGCCTGCACTTGATTAAAAAGGGAAAATATTTCACACAATTTTATTTATTTGCAACAGCTGACGAGCAACGCACGCGAAAAGATGAGAGTTGGCCATCTTTTTGCTTTGTGTTGGCGTGAGCGTTGCCGAATTTTGGCTATGTGGACGGCTGCACTTGAATTCATGTATTCATAGTCAGCTGTTGAAGCGACGCCAACGCCAACGCAACGCCAAAGTTTTATGTGGACGGGCCTTTACGCGGTTACGAAGCATTTATGGGCTTTGATAATATCGACGGCTGAGTGAAAGATCGACCTATCTCGGCAGCCAGTTCAAAAACGATCTATCTCAAAAAACATTTCAAGAACACCCTATTTCAGAATTTTATTGAAAAACACCCTATCTCAGAATTTGGTTGAACAAGAATAGGGCGTTTTTGGAACGAATTCTGAAATAGTGTATTCTTCAATCAAATTCTGCAATAGAGCGTTCTTGAAAAGTTTTTTTGAGATAGAGCGCTTTCGAACTGGCTGCCGAGATAGGTCGATCTTCCACTCAGCAGTCGATATAGTAATCCATATAACCATCCATAATAATCCATAGTAACCCATAATAGAGTAGTCTCTAAATTCAAGATCTTGCTAAAGTGTTAAAAAATAATTAATGAACAAAGTGGTACAATTAATTTAAAAATGTCATGTATGACAAGTACATATATTCAAGTCTTTCGAAAACTTAACTAAATACATATTTAAATACTCAAATGTTGAGTTTGTCGTCGAAGTAAGTAATGAGATTTTCTAACGCAATGTCCACTCGTTGATCTTTACTCAGAATTTCATCTTTGATTGATTTGAGTTCAAGCTCGACAGGAGCATTGCTGGCTGGCATCAGTCCGAATCCGAAATTGGCCTGGCATATGCTAGACCAAACTGGAATTGTCGGTAGTTGTTTCAGCAGACGTTTAGCAAATGTCGGACAGTACCGAGGATTTGAGTCGTCTCCCACCTCTTCTTCCATTATAGACGCCACTCTTTGTTCCATCGAATCGATCCAATTCTTCAACTCGTTGTTATCTTCATTTGTGCATTTCTCTTCGACTTCAGTTTCCATTTCCACATTAGCGTACTTGTTGCGTTGTAAACTTAGGTTCAAAACTTCCTCTATATCTGCTGCAAATTCCTTGCTCATCTTGTTCATGTATTGTAGAGCCGCTATTAGAGATGATGCTCCGTTTCCAGCGGTCTTGCTTGTTGAAATCAGCAATAGTGATTCTATTATCTTAGTGGCTTCTGTTTGACTTCTGCAAATAATCAATTGGGCAATGCAGGACATGAAGAATTTGTTTACTCCTTTATTTTCCATTGCCAGATATTTCGCCCAATTGTTGACATAATCAGCAACATCAATACCAATTTTAGTCCTTGGTAATACGCTTGTCATGCATGCGTTGGCGTAGGATTCACTCGTTTCGTAGCCCGTAAATACCAAACAGCAAGCATTGAGTAGAGCCTTAGATGAATCACAAACCTGTAAGGAGAGGGAATACGTTAATGGTACATTATTTAACGGTAATAGACAGGGATCGAAAATAATCGTTATTAGGAAGGCTTTTTATTTTAAAATCATTGGCAATGATCGTTATTAACCGGCTTCCAAAAAAGGAGGAGGTTATCAGTTCGTCGGAATATTTTTATTTTTTTTTATGTATGTTACCGCATAACTTTGGACCACGTCAACCGATTTCGATAATAATTTTTGCATCGGAAAGGTAGTGTCTCAGAGGTGGTCCCATACTAATCTGGTTAAGATCCGATCAGTGGATCATGAGATATATATATATATTTTTTTATATGAGAGTTGAAGTCGTTTTTTTTTTGCTAAAAATTACTTGTTTTTTATTTATATTTTTACGATAATTTTTACCCGATAATTTATGATTTTTATTTTTTCGTTAAAAAACAATCGATGTGCAATGATTTTTATTTTTCTGGATCACTTTTAATCTGGATTACTATTGTTTGATAAAAAACAATCGTTATTCTTGGATTTTTATTTTTCCGAACATTTTTAATCGTTATTTTTTAATTTTTATTGTTCGATCATACTGCGAACGTTATTTACAGATTTGATTTAAAAAAAACGCTGTCTCCATTATAACGGTTAAAAATGATTTAAAAAAAAAACAAAATAACGAATTTAATATTTGTTAATTCAAAATGCTGAAAAATGGTACCTACCACTTCTTTGGGGTACTCAGCACCAGACTGAATCCAGCGCATCAGCCAAGTGACAATGCTGACTGTATCCTGACGTTCGGATATCATTCCAAATGCAGCCGATTGCGCGGTCGGAGATGAAAGAACCGCGAGGTATAGGAAAAGATGCTGAGGTTTTTCGATCCCCTCCGTGGCGCCGATGCAAAGAAAGCTGTTGTTCGCCTTCGAGAGTTTATTAAATACGCGGATTTGATTTGGTGACCAAAAATGGACTATCATTGGATCAAAACCAATGTCTCTCACTACATTTTGGCCTTTCTCGGATTTCTTAAGCTCGGCAATTGCGTGAATGGGTTGAAGGTCTTTATATTTTGGCTGCTGTGACTGATATTCTATAGTTCTTGAAACATCCGCACTATGCAAATGCGGCGGCTCGGTTGAATCGCTTTCGTATTCGTATTTGAGTATCGCGGCGTTTTCAACTCGATAAAGCTCGGTCGATTCGTTTTCCAAAGTTGAAGCTACTCTCTCTCGGTACTCTACACGAGATTGTCCTTTACCGCATTCCCCATTGCCAGCAGATGCGATACAGCTGAATTTAATGAATTTTTCATTTCCGGTGCGTGGCAAAAGTTCGCAACTTACTTTACTTCCACATTTGCAGTGACCTGAAACAATAGGTCATTATGTATGTAGAAAAATTATTATTCGGGCTTCTTACTTAGTTTACGACTATTGGTGGTATATCAGCATAACAGCTTATAATTTTCATTGTTTTCGCATGCCAATAGGGATGATAATAAAGATTTATGTATAACAAAAATCGAAAAGACACAGAATGCTACTGCAGAAAAGACTAAAATTTTTTTTAACTCACCTTCAAATCCATATGATTTTTTGTTTCGATTCACGTAACGGCTTTTGAAATGGTAGCCGTGGAGTAAACGATGCTCATCATAAATTTTTTTCGATACTATTTCAGTCCAGATATGTGGTTTTAAAATATTAACCACGCGAAATATTCTTTTCCTTTTCTTGTCTGCCGTCTGCCTTAGAGTTTGCGAAATCAGTTCATTGAATTCACTTTCGCTAAATGTTATTATGGATCTAAGGTCGAGTTCGTTGGCAGATGTCGATTGCTCACTTTCGCTCGAAGTATTCAATAATTCCCTTGCGACATAATCCGTGCCAAACAATAATTTTTTTAATGAGAATGTGTCATTCGCTACGTAAGAGTACAAAGTACGGGCCGCGATTCTGCCGAGTAATTCTGTAGAAAGGGTTTTCCACACTGGATGTGTCTTTGTGACGATAGAATTGTGTTTTCGATTTACAATGATTTCATTTTTGTGTTTCAGTACACATTCAATAATAAGTTGCCTGTCGATGTTGGCTGGGCGTCCTCGTGGCATGTTAATCCTTTACACGTTCTTGCTACTGCTTTGGAATTCTGTTTTCCGCTACCTAGGTAAAGTCAAAGAACGTAGATACATATGTATTGTTACGTTTGTCCTTTATTTACTCGATAATTTTCTAAATACTTCGGGTTCGTGCACTGGATTGTTAAATGATACGAGTACATTCGGTTTACGAAAACTCCACTTTATTTAACTTAAAACACTTTTACAACACTTGTAAACTTGAACTTTCTTGATAGCTCGGTTGCAGTGCCTTTATATACCTTCAACCTCTTAAGGGAGGTCGATCTGGGGTTAAAGCACGATGTAGAAAACAAACGTGGCGCCCATCACGTACCGCTATTCCGATTTCAGTAAATTTAAAAGAATCGTTGTGTGTGACGTTACACTTGTGCAACTTTTTTATGTTTTTCTTCCAAAATTTCTTCTTCTTGCATTCTTGTTCGCGGTTTGACGTTTCTCTCTCGCAACTGCACCAGGGTGACGTCACACAAAAGCTATTCTCAAAAATCCTCTCTGATGGGCGCAAGTTTGTATTCTATCATGATTCAATAATAAAAGGTTAGATAATTATTGACAGCCGCGGTTTGGCACTCCCTTACAAAAGGTTGCATTTACGAAGGACAGAGAAAGGAGAAGAAAGCAATGCGAAAATGGTAGTAGATAAGTACGCAAAGTAGGCAATTAGTAGTGAAATTCTTTTTGTAAATTCTAATGTATTTGCAGGAAATCTGGCATTTCAAACGAAATATTAATATATCTAGTGAATTACGTAATTTATGTGATATTTAGCTGTATAAAAACTGCAAAAGGACTCAGTCCCAAGTAGAACTTAGTCTGTCGGAGACTTTGTTGTGATAAGACACGTCGATACCTCGGTCGGTAAAAATAAGAAATTCGTGCAGAAATTCCGTGGCCCGTATATGGTACATAAGATTCTACCGAACGATCTTTACGTGATTCGGGATATAGATAATTGTCAGCTAACACATTTACCTTATGACGGCATCGTTGAAGCCCTAAAAATCCGCAAATGGCTTTTACCTGTCAATCAACCCGAAAGCCCTCAGTCACTAGAACCCATAAGTCACGCTTGCCCTGAGCTGCGGGATAAACCCCAAGCCTTGATAGTGGTCAATCAAGTTAGTCAGGTTGGCCGAGATGTAAGGTAACCGGGTTTCGAAACTTTTAATTCTAAGTTATATGAAATACCCTGTTAATTGAGTATGTTCAATGTATAGTATTAAGACAAGACAGAAAAATGACAGATGGAACGGTCTGCAAGTCAGACTCCCCGTGAAATTTATGTAAACATCCAATTTAAAAAGAATTTATGTTTTCATCAGTTAAATGTCCTTAATATGCATATACATATAAACAAATTGCAAAAAAGCTTAATCTTCTATTTCACAGCAAAGCTACACTTTTTCCAAGTAAATTTGCAAAGAAGTAACACCGTGCCACTGCTAAAGGAGCGGTGCGAGAGAGACAACTGTCAGTTTATCGAACCTCGTATTATTGAATCATGGTATTCTATGAGCCTCGACTCACTAGTCTTTTCAGACCGCCTTAAACCGGTTTTTCATGGGCAAAAGGGGGAAGAAAGTAGTATTTTACCTCAGCAATTTCCGACCGAGAAAAATGCGGTATGACTTCGGTCTGAAACACACACATAGAAAAATCTATTAGTAACACAACTACATACACAGGTATATAAACGGTTTCAGCCGGTCTGAAAGTATTAGTGTATTTTCGCCTGTTGGTCTGGTCAGACGGTCTGGAAAGACTAGTGTGTCGAGGCTGTATAATTATTGGGATTATGGAATAATTGTAGAATATTTTCAACTATGAATATCCTAAGAGTAGCTAATTAGTAACAAAATATTTTGCTGTTATATACATCTACTACGTGAATATTTTGGCAAAGTACATAGGTATATTTCAAAGAGTGAAGAATGGGTTGATTTGAGCTTTGTAGAATATTATTATGGATATTCATGGAAACGCGTAAATGCCTCGTAACCGCGTAAACCTCGTAAGTTATTCGATTTTTCATACAAAATTAAGTAAGTTTACGAGGTTTACATCGATACGAGGCATTTACGCGTTTTGATCAATTGCCCTATTGACTAATTTATATGCGAGCAACTAAATATCCGTTACTGCTTTCCACCCAGCAGCTTGTTCTGATGACGGCCTATTGTACGGGTGAGAGCAGAGATGATCGGGGGTCAAGCGTTGACAGTGGAATATTATGAACGATGTTATTTTTCAGCAACTAATTAGCAACAAAATATACCATCTAAATGGAAAGAGTTGCTACCACTTAAGAATTTAAATTCTAACTATTTAATTATCATGTCATCAGATCTGCACCGTTTGCTCGATTTTCAAAATTAGGTATCAAATTAGATACATATGTAGATGTAGATGTGCAACTAGTTTTAATTCTTCCGAAAAAGTTGCCATCTGTTAAAAATTTCAAATTATTTAATAAGTGAAATCAATTATTACAATATGGTTATGAATAGAAATGGTTTTGAAAAGGTTTTATTTCTTCACAACATGTAGGGGGGTTGCCTCCTGTTAAAAAAATCAAATTAAACTTGAATTAAAGCAATTAGGAAATTGAAATATGGATCATGATTCATGGTGGATGTCAGACGGAAGAGGTTTAAAAAGGTTTTATTTTGAAAATATTTTGAAGGGTGTTGACATGTGTTTAAAAAAAAATAAATTAAAATTATTTAATAAGTTAACTTATACACAAGTTATGAAAAATAGTAAAATATGTTTGTCAAACGAAAGAATGTTAAGAAATCTGTAGTTGGAACATTTAAAATAATTGAAGAATAGTGTTTGAAAAAGGTTGTTAATGTTTAAAAAATTCGATTTAAATTGTTAATTAAGTTAATTGCATTATTAAAAGATCGGTATCTATCGAAATGAGTTTGAAGATACTTTATTTCTGCACTATATTTCGGGGGATTGCCACAAACGTAAGCTTTTGTTGGAAAATATTTTTTATTAGGGTTGTCACCTATCCGAAAAGTCATACCTATATAACTACATATGTTGTATAATTCCGGATAAAATTTTTGTAAAGTTCATCAGGTCTACACAGTTCTATTGAATTTCAAATATGAGATGTCAAGTTAAAGGTTATATTTTTTTTTTAGCTAGAACTTGTCTTGTTGAAATAAAAAACCGACACCATGCGCAACTTCTCTTCACTCAGAAATTTGACACACGGACCGCTTTTAACGAGTTCACTAGCAGTTTATATTTTCTGATGACCATTTTTTTTTTGACTTTTTACAAAAAAAAAATAATAAATAAGGTAGACTTTTGTAAATTATTATTTTTTTTTAATATACATATGTACATACATACAGTGGTGAAAAAATAAATAGGAACACGATATTTTTTAAAATTTTGCCTATTTTCTTTCGTTCATTTAATATTTATTATTTTTTTTATAAAACTGTAACTCATTATTAACAAAAACCATATAAATTCATATTTCAAACTTTTTACACAAATTATAAAAAATCTGCAAAATTGCGTCTAAATTTTAAACTTTTTAATCAGATTTGTTAGAATTTTTATGAGTTTTAGTTTTATAGCCCATTAAATTTTAGTAGAATGAAGTGTAAGTTTTAAGTGGCTAAAAAATCGCGCTGATTTTTGGCAATTTTTTAGCGCATTTTCTTCCATACAAAGTATGATAAAAAGTATGTTCGACAATTTTTTTGTATGGAAAAAAGTGCGTAATACATTCAGAATAAAAATTATCAAAAATCAACGCGATTTTTTAGGAACTTCAACTTGCAATTTATGGGCTAGAAAATTGCATACTCAAGAAAAAGCTGATTAAAAAGATGAAAATTTAGATGCAATTTTGCAGAATTTTTATAATTTTTGCACAAAGTTTCAAATACGAAATTATATGGGTTTTGTCAAATTATGAGCTATACTTTTATAAAAATATAATAAATATTAAACAAACGTAAGAAAAAAAATTTGTTAAAATGTCGTGTTCCTATTTATCTTTACTGTATGTACATAGTCCATTCACGCTGTCGTAAAAACTAAATAAATAAAAGTTTCAAACTGTATAAAATTTAGAAAAATTCTTCAAATTGTCATCAAAATTTCAAGCTTTTAATGAAAATTTTAGGAAAAGTTCCGGTATGCAGCTTAATTACCCATTTATAACGCAGGCGTTACTACTACTCAAGACCATCGGCAAAGAAAAAATTTAAAATATCACCGAGAATTTTGGCCCACTTCATACTTGCACTTTATTATACTAAAATTAAATGGGCTATTAAACTGCATAAAAAAAATTCACTCAAAAATTGGACGCAAAAATTTTGAAATTTTGTTGAATTTTTCTAAATTTTTTATAAAGTTTGAAACTTTTATTCATATAGTTTTTATTACAGTTTGAACTACTTATGTAAAAAAAAAAAAACTATTATTTTCATTAACTTAAAAAATTCTACCTCGTTTTTAAAGTGGTGGTAAGGTTTGCGTAGCCAAAAGTATAGTAGGGTAGTGTGGCGGCTGATATGCTGGTAAAATAGCAACTAAATACGCCTTTTGAAGCACTCCGATATCTTATCAAAAACAGAAGATAAAGCATCGTGATGTGCTAGGTTGAATATCAATTTAGCAGGTCGCTTGTATCTTTAACACGTAATTAGCGACTAACTAAAGAGAGAATAGTGGAGCCAATTAGCAACTAATAACCCAATAGGTTAGAGTTTTGCGTCGTGACCATGGTCTGCTAGCTTAATATATGTACGTGACTGTTTTTGGTATTGTTTAAATTTTTCGGATCTTCGCACGCTGGCACCCTGTATTGCACATTGCACACTTCACACTGCCAGCCAGACAGCAGGGTGGATGCACAGGAATGTCATTGCATCGATATACATATGTAGATATTTGTACGCATGTCCGTTGCCCAAGTTCGACAGCGCTCGACTGTGCGCTCGTAAACACAGTCTCGTGACGGCCGCGCCAGATCGGCCCCGTGCGACGTCGAGAAAAGTTGCACGCATTTTTGCTGCACAAAGTGCAATGAGCTTCACATGGCCACCATTAACAAATCGGTTGATCGTCCGCCCGACCCACCGACCGACCGACCAACCAGCAGACAAACAGACCGACCGGCTAAACCAACGAACAAACTAGGCGAACAGTTGCGTGTGACGAATGTGAAAAATAATCAATGAATTGACGAGCAAAATGCATTAACATAAAAACTGGAATGTGCATAAAGCAAGTACTTATATAAGGAGAAAGAGAAAAGGTAGAGCGCACGGGCAACAATGTTGCAAAAAGGTTAGGCAGACCAACAGCCAACAGCAAGCTCCGCTTATGAGAGCTTATCAAGTGTTGGGCGAAATTTCGCATAGTATGATGAATTGATCTTCGACTGGGTTGTTTCTTGGGCTTAGTATGGGATATCAAACAGTAGGCTCATTTCAGAAGCGTTGGCACCCAATATAAGATATCCATAAACATAAATAGTTACAGAAATTAATTATGAATTATTTGAAATGGCTATTGGCATGAGTATGCATATGAGCAGTGTACGCACTTTACCACTTTATTGGTAGATTTACCAACTTTTTAATTATATTAAATTTTATAGGATTTTTACTAACTTTGTTAACTTTGACGGAGCATAATTGTTGGAATTGGATTCTCCCTCCTATTAAATTAATACGGGGCCCGAATCAGGATATCAAAGATAGAACGTAATTTTATAAGAAATTTCTTTTTGAGCATTCGGTAGTGAGTTAGATTTTTCAAATCTAATTGAATAGGAGAAAAACAGCTATAATTTTATTTCATTCGATTCGAATCGAGTTTCATTCGACAACGGATGTTGTGGGTAGGGCCCAGTTTAGGTCTTCAACAATTACTTTTTGTATGGAGAAAATGAGCATAACATTCCACTAAAAAAATTTCTAAAAATCAATGCAATTTGCTAGCAACTTCAAACTTGCACTACGAAACTTGAATGGGCCTATAAAACTGCATATTTAAAAATTTCTAAAAAATTTTCTTGAGTTTTGCACAAGGTTAGAGATTTTATTTTTATGTTTTGGGGTGTAGTACGATATGTATTTTTTATAAAAAAAAATATTGAAAATAAATTAGAATAAAAAACTTTGCATCTATTGCCACTGTGCTAATACTTTTGTTCGTCACTTTATTTAAAATCCACCAATATTAATTTTTTCGAACTTCGGGCACTGCATAGGAGTGCTCTCCGTGCATGCGTTCACTTAAGTTGTAGAAAAATTCATTAAAGCGGTACATATGTATGTAGTGGTTACAGTGGAAAAGTTTACAGCATTGATTTTCGCTTTGGCTCTGGTTGAGTGGATACATATTTGTATGTATACAACATGTCTCGTTTTGCAATTATCGTCTACCATCAAGTAAATAGTACGAAATGAGTTGCCTTCCTTTTGTTTCACTTCTCCTTCATTGTGCATTATGTTATTTAGTGTAATTGTAAACAATGTAAATAACAGCACATTGGGATTCGTTTATAATTTTATGCCTCATTGTTTTTCTTATTGTTGCACTCAATTCGCCGACACTCGGACTATGATATTTTTACAGTAGTGCGATTCATAAAACGTCGCAAAGTGGCATTTTTGGCGAAATGGCAATGTTGCGCATAAAGTTGTATGAACGACCTATCGCTTCTCCGGATTGAAAATGTGCAATTTTTTTTTTAAATATTGCGCGCTTCTTATTCTCAGAAATGTTTTTACAATTATATTTCGAAGCAGCCTTAACTTATATACTTTTCTTGGAGTATTTGATGACAATAAAAAAACATGTGTTTCGCGACTTTGACTTTGCAACGATTGCCAGCTCAAATACTATGGCGACAAATGCGCCATTTGCAACAACTTTGCTACGTTTCATGAATCCCACTAGTATTCAACGGGTTGTGCCGGCAGCCAATTGTAAGCAGTCGAACGTCGTCGCTAGGTACGTGCCAAAATGAATGTAAGTAAAAATATATGTAAAGAAAAATATGTAGCTACTTAAGTACAGGAACAGACAGACATTATGCCGGCCCGTTGTTGCTACATATCGCACACGATATTTCGGCAAATATTAACATTTACAGAGCTGAGCCGATTTTATAAGACCGACGTGTGGTGCGAGTCCCCCCGAGGCAGATGCAGCTCTGTCTCGTCCAAGTCAGGTGGTTGTGTTCCCAAACCTGCATTCACGGGTCGAGAGTCAGCGTAAGTCAATACTGACTCCCAGTTAATGCCTCTTATGGCTTGTCGGTTTGCTGTCTCGTGTTGTGGCGACATCCGGTGGCTGTCCGGAGTGCCGCGTTTCCGCAGGCCTGTAGCTTCGTTCACTGCCTCCTACTAGTCCTCGGCGACCACCTGGGCGCTATATAGTATAGAACCGGCTGGCCAATTCCCTTGTTTGTGGCCAACAACGTTTCTTTGTCTTTGTCGCAGGGCTGCCGGCCAGCGACTTGAGGACCTTGCGCGAGGCAGGAGCTTCAAATGCCACGCATAAGTATGTTGCACAAACATACACGGGCTCTTGTATGTATAGATAAGAATTTAGCATGGTTCGGTATCCAGACTGCAATTTATGCTACGCAACTCTAAGAGCTCTTTAAATTCCAGGTGCATACGCTTTAATCATAGCCACAAATATCTACAACTGCTCTTAAAAATATACACTGTCTATAAATAGAAGAAATATTTTGCTAAGTTACAAATCTTATAAAGTTGTGGTTATTGTAATCGTAAGCGATGTAAAATTTGCTTTCAACATACATACATATACATACATATCTCTGAAAAGTAATCTCAACTTTCGCGATTTGCCCGCCCCAATGAAACAAATAGCAATTCACCAATTCACGTAGAAACTTCTGGAACTTGCACGGAAGCCAACATAACCGAATTACAGCATTGCATATACATATGTATCTATGGACATGTATATATGTATGTATATAGGAAAGGTTGATGAGAACAATCAGCAGAATATACGAGCAATACATATTTATGTACATACCTAGTAACCCAGTAAAAAATGTATTGATTAATACCATAATCGAGCAATATTGTAGTAATATCTCGTTCATTCATTTGGAGAAATAAGCGAGCAATCACAGCATTTTTTAGTTTGATAACATTGAAGAAATAAACGAGCTGAAGATAAGGAAGATCACCCCTTTGTTTTGGTTTGAGAGGTAAAAATAAGTTAAAAAGAATACTACCTTTATACGATAAGGACAGGACCGGGCTCGGAGAGTTGTGGTGCAAAACATTGCGGATGATG